TAATTTAATAAATTGATAAAGGCCCATCTGGATGGAGCCCACTGCAGCTTCCCACTCGATTAAAAATATTAAGAGAGAGATGCGGCCCAAAGTGCTGAGGACAGTCTGTCCTACAGTATGCTTTCCTTTGCTTTCTGTATTTAATACACACACGCAATGGGAGTTTATTCCCCTGGATCGCTCCGTAACAGACAGCGCCAATGATACAGTTCATCAGCAACTGTAATGAAATACAGTCAGTTCTCTGAGGAAGTGCTGCCCCTTCGTCATTTTTACGCTCATACAAAACACCACCACCCATCACTGCCAGACCCACCTCGCTAGTTCCACCGCGTAGACGCAAAACACCATCCATTTAACCGCCGCCTCAAGGGAGCCAATTCTCAAAGCTAATGCTGAACACATCAGTTACCGCCGAAACACCCTACAGAGGCAGACACACAACCTGTGAGTTACTAAATACCAACACAGACCTTTAGTGAGACTAGACGTCACAACTTAATTGGCCACATGTGAAAATGAGACTGTGAGGAACCACAATACAGCCTTTTAACAGAACATACTGTCTTCTCAGCCGGGGGTTGGGGCCCACTGGGGAGCCTCAGCAACCTTTTCGAGAGCCGCAGAGTGAATAACTTAATCAAAATGCTTAAAAAAATATATAAAATTCAGATTTTTTTTTCTCCCCTCAATATTTATTGTTTTTATTGATAAACCTACAAAATATTCAAGAACTACAAAATGAATTGTGGTTAATTAATTTCAGTAGAGTATATTACATTAATATTTGATAATGATATATATATATATATATAATGATTAAATGATAATGATATAATTTAATATATCAACGCTACCAGTTTCAGTAAAAAATTAGCAGTGTTGTCAATTACAGCAGAAATACCAGAGAAAATGTAGAAAATATTTAAATTATTAATATTGAAATATGGACAATGGTTACAAAAAGGTTGAGAACTGTTGCTGCACTGTATATTCTTTTCTAAAAAATTGAGCCATCTTAATTTTTCAGCAAAAGCATGGGAAATTAGTTAGTGATCCGTTGACAAATTCAGCGTATAAATGCTGTACTAAAATGTGTCTGCTCTCATCTGCCAACAGAAATATGATTCTACGTCAGTGCATCACAGCGACATTCAATTCTGTTGTCAATAAGCACAGATCTAGTTTTCAGTGACATAAAACTGCGCAGATAAAAATTAACGAATTTTGAATGTGATAAACTATGTGTCCCATGACTATTAAATATATAGTTCATGGAATTCATAATGTCGGTTGGTTGCTTTGTTTAAGACATTGTAAAATAATGTTTATTGAGACTTTTTGTCCTTGGCTGTAAAACGTATCTGCAGGCTTTCACCCGTGTGTGTGTTTGCACAGTGTAACCCAATGTTTCCTCAATAGCTGGGTCACAGATCTGTTCTGTTGGTCTGTTCTGGTCTCAGACAGCCTAAATGCAAATAATAAAATGAAACTAACTATATTGTGCAATAAAATAAGTAATGCTGTCAAACGATTAATCGCGATTAATCACATCCAAAATAAAAGTTTTTGTTTACATAATATATGTGTGTACTGTGTATATTTATTATGTATATAAACACACACACATGCATGTATATATTTAAGGAAAATGTATACATGAATAAGTTTGATGATCTGATAAGTGTAAAAATTTTTTATATATTACATATATTTATATATTAGTTCAAAATAAAAAAATCAATGAATCATACTGTACTGTATGTACTTCCTTCCATCCCTCACATTCGACTACTCTTACCAAGATATATGGGCCAAAAATATCCTCTTATTTCACAAGATTATGCACTAATTTCATCTTTATGGTTAAGCACACTTCCACTCGGCTGAACACTGACTGCTCGTTAGCGCAATCCCTCATCTGCCTACACACACACACACACACACAGGTATTTAGAACATTCCAGCAGAATGTGTGTCAAAATGTGCTTGTGAGAGACAGAGATCCCCCTCGACTCCTCCCTTCCTTCTGTTCTCCTCTCCTCCCTCCTCCCATCTCTTTTCCCATCAGGACCCCGGCGAAGGCACGCAGTGCTATTTTTAGCGTACTGGTGCTTTTTTATCAGTCAGTGTCTATTTGTGGCTCAAAAGAACTACAGAGGGCTTCCTGGCTGCTGACGTCAGCAGTGCCGTGCTGCAGAGGCGTACAGGGAAAGGGAGAAAGAGATAGAGAGAAGGGGGAGAACAAAGAAATGAGGAATAGAGAGGGGGTGAGGAACAGAAAAATGGCATGGGGAGACAGAAATGGGCGTAAGACGATGGTGCGTTCGCAATGGGCCTCAGGAGATTCATGCGGATCTATTTGGAGGCTGGTGATTTAAGCGCAGTTCTTGTGTGACAGGCGTGCGTGTGTGTCTCCCTCGTGCTGTTATAATAGTGGGCTGCGTGGGGAGAGCTAGTCAGAGAGGATAAGGAGCCCCTCTAGAGAAAAGCAGGATTAGTAGAGGCACGCCAGACACATGCCAGAACCGGGCAAACACCTGGGGATCTCTCTCTCTCTCACACACGCACAGATCTCATCACAACATGGATGCACATTAGATGTACTGTGAGATGCACACGTATAGGCTGTGGACAAAATAGAATGAATGTGCCTTGTTTAGTGACTAAGAAGGCATCTTTTTCAGTCACATTAAGCATATGTCAAATCTGTATGATCTATAACATTTAATTCATATAATATACAATGCTTATTTAAGTGAGAATCTGGATCATGAATTAAATTCAAACATTTTTTATCTAAGAATTTTCTGATTTCAAAAGATCTGTCAGATGCTTTTTTTAATTTTCAGACAACCGCCAATTCATTTTTCAAACATGAGTTTGAAAGTCTTTTTGACGATTCATTAAAGGGGTCATATGATGTTGCTAAAAAGAACATTATTTTGTGTATTTGGAGTAATGAAATGTGTTTATGCGGTTTAAGATAAAAAAAACACATTATTTTCCACATACTGTACATGATTGTTTCTCCTCTATGCCCCGCCTTTCTAAAACGTGTTGATTTTTACAAAGCTCATCGTTCTGAAAAGCAAGGTGTGCTCTGATTTGCCAGCTATCCAGTGCGTTGTGATTGGCCGAATACCTCAAGCGTGTGACGGAAATGTTATGTCCCTTAACATACTGTGATGCCGTGTCCCGGCACGACGAGACAAAACCAATAAAACCCATTATACACGAGGCATTTGTTGCATCCAGTGGGGACATAATTACTGATTATAATGCTTATACTGTCTCTTTACACGTTGCTCTACACTGCTCAAAACTCGCGTTTGAATCGTCAGTGGCAAATTCTTTAAATATGAAAACATACTTGCAGTCTGTGAGTCAGAACAGCCGGCATTGTAGGCTACTCTCCCAGGTTCAGGAAAAAGTTCTCCGTAAAATGCGTTGCACACATCTGAATATTTGGGTTGAACTGTTCTGGAACAGTGTTGCAAATACAACTTAATCACTGATTTCTAGTTGTGTCCTCTTTTAGAAGGCCAAACAAAGTATTTTCACTTTCACAACGAAACACAGCATCTCCACGACATGGCGGTAGAGGCAACTACAATACTACAGCGATAATCAAAGTTACGCCTTCTTTCTTTGCGTGAACATTTGGGCGGTGTTATGCAAATCTTCCCACACAGTGATGTAGATATGTGGGAGCATGTTAGAACGAGCCGTTTTAGGAGGGCGTGGACGAGTCTTAACTTTTATAAAGAATATCTCTTTGGATTTGAGACTTTAGTCTTTGCAACTTTAGGGATCTTATCTATTCACGAACAGCTTGTACCACTCCAAAGAGAAAGGAAAACTTGAAATTGCATCATATGACCCATTTAAAAGAACTGGCTTATACGTTCACGCATTTGAGAATAAGCCTATACTGTCAGATTGTTTTTGCGCAGGCAGTCAGCAAAAATGGTCAAACGTTGTATTTTGCAGTGCATAGTCCAATCTGATCACAAGTTTGGGGTCAGTAAGAATTTTTTTTAAAAGAAAATAATACTTTTATTTAGCAAAGATGCATTAAATTGATCCAAAGTGACATTAAACAGTTATAATGTTACAAAAGATTTACATTTTAAATAAATGCTGTTTTTTTTTACTTTCTACTCAAAGAACCCTAAAAATATATTTCACGGATTTTACAAAAACATTAAGCAGCACAACTGTTTTCAACATTGATAATAATAAGAAAAAATTTTGAGCAGCAAATCAGCATATTAGAATGATTTCTGAAGGATCATGTGAAACTGAAGACTGGAGTAATGATGCTGAAAATTCAGCTTTGCCATCACAGGAATAAATTACATTTTGAAATATATTAAAACATAAAACAGTTATTTTTAATTGCAATAACTGATGCTTTTTAATTTTACTGCATTGTTAAATTAAATAGATGTAGCCTTGGTGAGCATAAGAGACTTCTTTCAAAACTATTAAAATTCATACTCCGCCCAAACCTTTGAACAGTATTGCCTTGATGCTGCCTTAACCCCATATACTGCCTGAGATCGCAGAATTTGCAGATTTGCACACAATCATAACCAAATAAATCAATATAGCCTCAATCTCACACATTTAAAAAAAAAAACGCTGCTGAGTCAAATGTCAAATCGTGCCTTTCAATTCTCACTCCTCATGTACCCAACACCAACAAGACCATATGCTCTTCAGTAATCTACCATTACCCTTTATTAAATACACACACTTGTCTAAACGGCATCAGCTGTTTACACGGTTCCACTCGCTAGTTTAACTAAGGTTGCCTTCATGTGCTCTTATGGAGCGGAGCAGAGGCTTCCCCGTCTCACTGTCTCTCTCTGCCATTATCATCACAGGTCCAATGACATCAGATCAGCACGGGGCAGAACCAGCCAGGCTATGAGTCACACACACACACACACACACAGTTTGTCTCTCTGGGGATGGCAAACGATTATGATTGATCAAATGCACTCACTTACCTGCACCAAGAATATGATGAGGAAGTAAAAATTAGCAATTCTTCTAAACTGCTCGAATAGGTTCTTTGGCAGGAAGTTCCACACTGTGTACTGAGGAAGTGAGAAAACAAAACAACAACAACAAAAAGTGTTAAACAGTAACAAGCTAAAAACCAACAAGCTGTCAATTAATTTATTTAAAGTTGTAAAAAGGGTTTTAAAGGGATAGTTCATCCAAAAATGGAAATTGTGTCATTGTTTATACTCACTTCACAAAAAGCTATTAAATGACTTCAGTAGACTCGTGATATAGCACACAAGTTGTCAATTACTTTTAAGGTGCTTTTTTGTCATCTCTGAAGCTTGTCAGTCACAGTTTCAAATCATTTTCATTATATGGACAGAATGGACTTTCTTCAAAATATAAAGAATTTTGTATTTTTAAGTGAACTATTAATTTACAGCAATGTGAGTCTAAACCCACATCCTACTGAAAAGCGGGAGGAAGGATTAAATGTATTCAATATTCATCAGCTCCTGTGTTTGTGCTTTTCTTGGAGAGGGAGCTGAGATGACTTCAATAGCTCCGGAGCTCTCTGATGTGTGTGACCGGGCGGCAGCTCTCTGGGCCAGCAGGTATTACATTGATTTGGATTAGCGACTTATTGCCTTCGTTCGGCGAACCCCAGAAAGGGGAACCTGCCACATGATCCGTTTGGCAGTGGCTCGCTATTTATTCAGCACTCTTTTAGGAAATGAACACAACAGCAGAAGCGCACTAGCTCACGAATGACAGTTAACATCAAATAAGGCTGAATCTAATACAAACAGGAAAGTGTTTTATATTTTGATGCTGTGACTTTACCATTTTGAATCAACTTTTTTGCAAGAGAATAAGCGCAAGTTAGTATACTAATTCTATATATATATATATATATATACACACACACAGTCAGTCTTCGGAACTAGAAAATAGCGACTGAAAAAGCCCCGTTCTACTTCCGCTGGAGGAACCTCCTCTATCGCCCCCTTGAGGAGAAGTGAAGATAGTTCCTGCTGTAGAATAGAAGCCTCTGAGGCGCTGCTCACTACAGTCAGGTGAACCCCGTCGAAATTGGGGTTGCAACCGAATTGAAGTGTGTAACCAAACTGAACTGTGCGGAGAACCCAAGGCGATATCCCTGGTAGATACTTCTATTCGTGAAAGAATTGTGATAGAGGAAGCAGAGTGTTGCAGTCTACAGGACATACCTGTGTTGGAGTGCCGCGATGTAGAGCCCTGCACGGGCCTCAAATATACAGTGCTGTGAAAAGACTTTTGCCTCCTTCCTTCCTGTTTTTTTTTTTTTTGCATATTTGTCACAATTGAATGATTCAGATCATCAAACTTATTTTAATATTACACAAAGATACCCCCCAAGTAAATACAAAATACAGTTTTAAAATAATGATTTCATTTATTAAGGGAAAAAGCTGTCTAAACCTGCCTGGCACTACGTGAAAAAGTAATTGCTCCCTAAATCTAATAAGTGGTTGTGCCACGCTTTGCAGCAAAAACTGCAATCAAGCGTTTGCGATAACTGACAATGAGTCTTTCACATCACTGTGGAGGAATTTTGGCCCACTCTTCTTTACAGAATTGTTTTAATTCAACCACATTGGAGGGTTTTCGAGCATGAATGGACTGCTTAAGGTCATGCAACAGCATCTCAATCAGATTTAAGTCCGGACATTGACTTGGCCACTCCAAAACCTTAATTTAGTTTTTCTTGAGCCATTCAGAGGTGGACTTGCTGGTGTGTTTGTGATCATTGTTCTGCTGCATAACCCAAGTGCGCTTGAGCTTGAGGTCACAAACTGACGGCCGGACATTCTCCTTCTGGATTTTCTGATAGAGTGCAGAATTCATGGTTCCATCAATTATAGCAAGTCGTCCAGATCCTGAAGCTGCAAAGCAGCCCCAGACCATCACACTACCACCACCATGTTTGGCTGTTGGTATGATGTTCTTTTTATGAAATGCTGCGTTGGATTTACGCCAGATGTAACGGGACACACACCTTCCAAAAAGTTAAACTTTTGTCGCATCAGTCCACAGAATATTTACCCAAAAGTCTTGGGGATAATCAAGATATTTATTGGCAAATGTGAGACAAGCCTTTGTGTTCTTTTCGGTCAGCAATTGCTTTTGCCATGGAACTCTCCCATGGATGCCGTTTTTTGCCCAGCCTCTTTCTTATTGTTGAATCATGAACACTCACCTTAATTGAGGCGAGTGAGGGCTGCAGTTCTTTAGATGTTGTTCTGCGTTCTTTTATGACCTCCTGGATGAGTCGTCGTTACGCTCTTGGAGTAATTTTGGTAGGCCGGCCATTCCTGGGAAGCTATTAAATGACACTGTTAAAAGTTTTCTCCATTTGTGGATAATGGCTCCGACCGTGGTTCGCTGGAGTCCCAAAGCCTTAGAAATGGCTTTATAACCCTTTCCAGACTGATACATGTCAACTATTTTGTTTCTCATCTGTTCTTGAATTTCTTTAGATCGTGGCAGTGTTGCTCTTTAAGCATGCTTCACTTTGTCAGATTTCTTGATTCAACAGGTCTGGCAGTAATCAGGCCTGGGTGTGGCTTAGGGCTGTCGTGATAACCTCAATATCGCAATACTGATGAGCAAACCGCAGAGGAATGCAAGAACCGCAACAACCACGATTTTTGCGTGTTTTCTTTTTTCGTAAGGTTATGCCCTTCTCGTTTTACACTTCATACATGTGGACTGAATATTAAACAAGTTAGTAATGATAACAATGTGTACCATGCTGATTTGTACAGAGGCTCCGTAGATTTGCACTTAACAAGACTAAACAAACAGTGAATGACAGAGAGATCGACTGAGCGTGTGCAATTACTTGCGTCTGTCCTCCAGGCCGAGTCATATATATTTGTGAAAATATGTTGTCATGTCCAAGGAAAGCGAAATCTCTGTCTTAGCATCGACGCATAGCTGGTCAGCTGAGCCTTCTAAAGTGGCGCTCAAAGTTAAAATGATTTCAACAGTGTGTTTCATTACGTCTCTTTGAATGAATGAATCAGCGTTTTTGAACATGTAGTTGAATGACGGTGCCTTTCCACCACCTTGTGGCGCAACAATCTAACTGCACTGACTGACAGCCCATCTAGAACGCATGCAGGTGGAAATATCAATAGAAAGTCTCTTGTCCAGTCAGATTAGAAGATCAGATTAGAACTAACTGTTATACATATAGACTAACGACAGCCTAACAATCTTATTGTCAGGTTTATGTTCTGTAATGTGGACCGTTATTTTGTCATTCTGTTCCATTTACTTCACTTCCTGTTTTAACGCTATTTGGTTTCGGTTTCATTGTCTTCTGAATATCACCTCATTAGTTATATCTTAACACCACGGGCTATTTTGAGCTACAGGCAAAAAAAATTAAACTGCTCCAAGTAGTAATTAAACACCTAAAATTATCTTTATTTGTACATTTTCTGAGAGGATTACCTTTTCTCCACTTGCTTCTCGCGCTGACTGTCATCCGAAGTGCGTGCATATAACGGCGCTTCTGATGACGCGCAATCCCGATAAATACATACACATACAGATTTACAGTATTTCAGTAATCACGCAAACATAATCTGTTCTGTGAACGCTTGAGGAACTGTTGGGGGAAAACATCTGATGTGTAACATTATATTAGATCCGTGCATTACAGTATAGGACGTCTGTCTCATTAATGTTAATCTAACAATAAAAGAAAAGAGGAAATCACTCGCTGCACTTCATTGAACTGCTTTTGTAGTTTTAATAAACAATTTGTTTGTAATGAACACACTAAAGTTCTTTTTACATTTGATTATTTGTTTTTTGTACATGATGCTTTAGTTTAGATATAAAATGATAAAGGTAATGCCTTATTTGTTTCTTTCTAGGCTATTTGTTCTACTGCTTTTTTTTTTTGCATCTGTTCTTATTTATAATAGCAAAGATCAAATAAAAAATAGCTGTATTGTAATTATTAATATAGTAATTAATATTAAGAAAAGACGGAGGACTTCACTCAATCGACTTCAAACGGCTGTAGCTCAGTAATTTTTTGTCCGATTCCAACAAATCACAAATCATGAAGTCTTTAATGGAGAAGGTAATTATTTTTTTATTGCTCATTGTGACTCATTTTGTCAGCACAGGTCACATTATTCTCAGGAGGAAGCACGTGTGGAGGCAGTAAATGACAACAACTCATGTTTCAGCCAAAAAAATCAGATATAGGCAACAAATCAGAATTGGGCATCAAGACCTGCAGTGTAAACATGCACAGTTTTAAGGCAGCTTTAATCGCCTTTTTGGTAACATCATGACTTTCCTGACCACGACATTGCATGCACGTAGTTTGTTTCATTCGCTCTTTCATATAAAATGGTACAGGCTACAGCGTGCGCCGGTTTCTTTGTGCGTGCGATTGAAGAGTATGCGCTACGAGCACAGTACAGTTTCCACGCTCGTTTGACTCGCGCCTGGCGCTGAAGTGAAGTTGAAGTGCATGTCTGAAACGCCTCTGGTTTGATGTGGTCGTAAAGACGTTCTGCGACTGAATAAATGCACTTCTTGTCAAGAGAAAAAGTGACACAAACAGCAGTTGTGAGAGGGGTGGCCAACTCTAGCTCCACCCCTGCATTAATTGCGTTAAATATTTTTAACACGTTAAACTGAAAAATGTAATCACCTGCATTAATGCGTTAATATATATATATATATACACACACTCTATTATATTCAACAGAAATACATGCATAAAATGGCAAAAAAAAAATTTGTAAGCTGTATCATTTCATAAAATATAATACATTGAAAAATACACTTTTTAGGCAGAAGTATAATTTGTTTGAATTTCAAATATCCAATAAGCCAAAAACTCAGCAATACAACTGAAAATAAATGCAAATACTGACTGGATAATGTAGGATAATAATAGAGAAAAAGAGAGAAAAAGAGAGAAAAATAACTGGAATGTGGAAAGCTATTGCCACCTAATATAACCATCATTGCTAAATAATGGATCACCATGGGTGAGGAAAGTGAGAGAGGGCAGTTTGGGGCGCCTGCAATAAGATAAAATGGAATACATCATAATTTCTAACAGAGCAGATGTTATACTGAGGTGAACTCGAGAAGATGTGGCAGATCTGGACCTCTTTTAAGAGGAAAAACGGGATCTAAGGGATACCCTGGAGAAAAGGTTATGCTGAGTTTGAAGGGGGAAGATGCAAATCAGATGCATAGAGAAGTGTAAACATCTCAGTGCAGGTAATTAAAGTGTGTTTAGAGCCTCATGCCAGAGAGGAATTGATCACCGGAAACCACAGCACGGCCACAGGTCTGATAAATCTATTACTTCTTACTCCCTTGTTTCTACCTTTCGTATCTTAAAACACTCCTCATCTATCGACTGAATAAGGAGATTCAGGAAGTCCCACAAGATTAAGGGGGGCAGAGTCAACCACCCCGAACACTTGAGCGTTAATTGCAACTATGTATTTATCAGCCGGATCTCAAGCACTGCTCTGACAGGCAAATTAGGGAGTTTCGTGGGGTGGAAGGGGGGGTGGTAAGATTTACTGCAGTTTGTGAAGAGTGAATTATGAAAGAGCAGAGGAAAAAAAGAGAAAATGGAAAGGACTTTCTAAGTTTAAACGCAGTAGGAGGGTCCCAACAGTCTCTTCACACCTGGAGGAACAGGTGGCTGAACACCAGGGCTCGAGAGAAGCGTGTTGCAGCCGTACTCTCCACATGCTGCTGCTAACACACATCTCTTACGTGTTAATGCTGCGGTGCAGTTGCCATGGCATTAAACAACACTTGCTAATTACAAGCTAAAATTACAAACAGGCTCTTGAAGGGAGCGAGCAAACCCCAAATGCTGTTATCCTGTAAAAATCTGATTACACTGCGGCGAGGTCAAGCAACGGCCCAGCTCACGCTTTCAGATTCGTGACAAGGTGAAGTATAACAAATACCAGAAGTTACCTTGGAGGACACGATCCTGTTGTCACAGAATTTAGAGGGGATGAAGGCCTCGGTGTCCGGACATGGCCGATGTCCTACATAGATTGTCCTGCTGTCCACTCGCTTCTCATCTCCTCCACACTACATGGACACATGGAGAAACAGGGAAAAAGAGAGAGAGAGATCATTCAGATGAACAGCAACATCAGCTGATCAACATCAAACAGGAGAACCAGTCGGGGTAACATGTTTGGAAAAAGTCATAATTTTTGTCTTTACACTAGGTCATAGTATTGTTGTGGCATCTTTTGATTTAAATGTCAGTATGGTAACATTATATAGCTGTTTATACTATACTCTCAGGAAAAAAAAAAAAGGTACAAAAGCTGTCACTGGGGTGGTACTCTTTCAAAACGTACACTTTTTTCAGTTTTTGCCTTTGTTGTTATAGGACAGTATATAGAGATGACAGGAAGTGAAGTGGGAGAGAGAGGGGATCGAGCCGGGATTCGAACTCGGGACACCCATTGCGCAACGGGACTATATGTTGGCCCATTGCCCTACATACTAGTGGTCGACCGATATATCTGAGAATGGCAGCACCTGAACACAACACACAGTGCTCACATTCTCTCTCTTGTTCGCTGTCGTCCTTAACAGTTGTATCCACGGACAGAAGTTTGTCTAATAATCAGATAGAACTGTTAAACAAAGGAATTAAAATGTATCTAAAAAAGTGTTATAACGATTGCTTATATTGTTAGTAATAGAAAGGCAAACATTATAATACCTTCTCGTTTGCCGTCAGCATTCAGCAAATATGAATTTACATAATTTAAACAAATCTTTGAATGACTAATGAACATCTCATTTCAAAAACCTTGCAAACTTAGTTTGAATCCAGCTGTGAGATCTTATGAAGAATGCATTTGTATCCTTCACGATCGCGTGTTCTCTGCATGACGGTCAGTCCGTGTGAATTGAATATGGACAGGAGGAGAGTTCAGCTTCACTGAGACGCGCGATCGACAAAATTTAAACTCATGATTTCAAATTATGCTGCGCTTGATGCTTTTGCCCAATATCATAGTCATGTCATTTTTACTGTGTGCTGTATGTAAAATGAGTGTTACCTTGGCTTTATTTGAAAAAAATGTGATTCCCAATCTCCCAATGCACACAAACTTCCCAGAATACTGAGTGCCCTGTTGGTTACAGTGTTTAATTACTTTTTAACTATATTTTTATTAAATATTTGTTTATTAGTGAAAAAATACTTTGTCATTTAAAGTAGAAGCATGTTTATTTTACACATTTTTTAAAAATTATTTCAAATTTCTTAAATATTAAATAAAATTCTATCTGCTTTATATCAGCCACCCTGCTTTCCAAGATATCGGCAGTCAAAAAAACAATTATCAGTTGACCATTAAATCTAAACATCAAAATATGTTACGTAATATACTATTGTTTTGTTTGGTATGTACTTAAAGGGATAGTTCACCCAAAAATGAAAATTTATGTTTATCCGTTTACCCCCAGGGCATCCAAGATGTAGGTGACTTTGTTTCTTCAGTAGAACACAAACGAAGATTTTTACCACAAACCGTTGCAGTCTGTCAGTCTTATAATGGAGGTGAATGGGAATCATGGCTTTGAGTAAAATTTTTTTTAAAAACATACACAAACAAAACCAAATTAAACCCTGTGGCTCGTTACGATACATTGATGTGTAAAGACACAAAACAAACTACGAGCTACCATTGACACTCCTAATTGAGATTGTAGATAGAGTGTCAATGGTCCATTTGACAGATAGGTGGCGGTAATGCACTTATAAGTCTGCAATCCGCCGTAAAGCAAGAAGACGACGACGCCTCACACACCTGCTCTGGACGCGCCGCCGCTCAGGACAGTTCGAACAGTTCGGACATTGCATGAATCAGAGGTAAAAAAACGATATAAATACTGTTCAGTTTCTTGCACAGACCGATCATTTTGTGTCTTTACACATCAATGTATCGTAACGAGCCACAGGGTTTAATTTGGTTTTGTTTGTGTATGTTTTTTTTTACTCTCAAAGCCATGATTCCTATTCACCTCCATTATAAGACTGACAGACTGCAACGGTTTGTGTAAAAAATCTTCGTTTTTGTTCTACTGAAGAAAAAGTCGCCTACATCTTGGATGCCCTGGGGGTAAGCAGATAAACATCAAATTTTCATTTTTGGGTGAACTATCCCTTTAAGATCAATTGTGTGTGGCAGAGGGCTTGCGGTTGCTCGCCCACTGTAAAAATTCCCTAAGAAACACTGGAACAGGTCTGTGAGTTTCCCCTGTGGTCAAGTTTGTGACCCGGGACATTCCTGTAGCGTGAAAAGGGCAACAACTTGACTCGAAGCTGTGTAAGCATGGGATTGCTGGAGGAAACATTGGCACAAAACATACACGGTGATGGACAGCCAGGAAGCCAGATCTCTGCACACTTTTCCTTTTGTGGCCTACGGTCAACATTGGCTTGATTATGGTTAGTCACAGGAGTGGGTGTTTCTGCGTGCATGCGTTTCAATTCTCCCTCAAGAACAAGAGATAAAATGGTGGCAGTTATGATTACTCTCCATCAGAGCTTCTCTAAAACAGTGCATTGCTAAGCTGCTCTTACATTTACAATAGTTAAACTACAAATCAAGCTACTCTTCTGAAAAAGTCAGCTACACTACAAGCTACTAAAAAGTAGCTACCATGCATTTAAGTACTTATATCATCTTTTTTCAAATATTTTTAAATATATAACTGATCAGATTATGTAATTTAAAATCGGAGGCAAATCTTCCTAGAACAATAACAATGAATTGTTGGGGGTTTTTTGTAATGAATGAACAAAATCTCAATAAGGGAACTCAAAAATCCTTAACATTTCAGCAATATTGTTACATTTAAAATTCTTTGTTCAGACAACTGTGCTTTAATTGGAACAACATTTGGGGGAATTCCAATGTCTAACATGGATTTCAGTGAATTATGTAGTAATTCACATTTCTTACTATAAATGACTCAAAGGGCCCAGTAAAATGGAAAATATAGGCTTTTTTAACAGCACATAAACGATAATGCAGAGTTCAGCAGCATCTTAAAAATGCTACTTTTAGTTAGTCACTCACACACACCACCATTTCTCAGTCTCTGAGGGTCTCGATGAAGACGACATACGCTGTCATCACGTCTCAGCAGGCTTTCAGCATCACACTTCAACCTCGCCCCCCTCCCCCCCAGTGTTTCCCGGGACAGTGTGATCGGTAGTACCATAACTGCTGGTGTGAATAATTCAGAATGCATTGAGAGGCAGATCTGAGAGTTTAATGCAGTGTGTGAGTGAGTGTGTGTGTGCTGAGCCCCCCTCCATCGGGGACCTCCGTTCATCTGTTCCACACCTCCGCCCTGTCAGGTAGAGGGACGGTAGGCATGAGGCCACAGGCTAAGTGCTGTCACAACCTGTCCGGCAATGTTCAGTTCTTCGCCGACAGGACTTACGCTGTGTATCAGATAACACGCTGATCCTGTGCACTCGCATATCTGCCCGAATCACTCGCATCAGTGTATTCATCACCTGAAAACTCAATCACAGCGCATCAGTATGTGTCAGTGGTGAGCGATAACTCACGTCCCTCACTGGGGGCCTCGAGGAACAAGAGGCTTGTGCGTTTCTACTGCAAACTAGATGTAAATCTTCAGCATACAAGTCTCTCTCATCCACATCCGCACTCTGAGTCAGAGGAGACAGCTATTTAAAACAGTCAACGACTGTTTCTCCCTCTTTCATCTGCATCATCTTCTCGTTTCCCACTGGATCTGCCCTCGATTCGGCTTCTTTTGAAAACGTACGTGGCGGAGCAATCTGTATATTCTGGCTCGATGGTTGGGAAAAGCCTGGGATTACGTAAGTTTTTGTGAAGCGTGACGGCTCTTCACACATCAGTGTGGCATGTGGTGCGCTCCCTGGTCCCGGATGACACAGGCTGGTCTAAACGGAGAGGGGAGGGGCAGGTGTGAGGGGAGAGGAAATGGCACAGGTTCTAGAGCTCAGGGGATTGAATCCACCTCCAAATGCCACCCGGTGTAAAGGAACACAGCCCAGGGCCTCGGAAAAGAAAGCAAACGGACGCAGACCTGTGTAACATCTAAACAGAATTATAAGGGTATCAGGGCTGTGACAACGCTTGTGTGTGAGGGCTGCAGTTTCAGCGTTTCACAGAAAGGTCAAAAAGCTCTGTAAAAAGTGAATGATTCAGTGAGGCCCTTTAGGTTAGATGCTTGCTCAGATCCGGTCTCTTCATTTCATTAGTTATACATCAACCACAGTCTGGCGAAGGGTTAGGAAGAAAGAAAAGAGGCCTTTGTGAATCCACTGTGAATGACTCCGCTGATGATGATTATTTTTCTGCTGTCTGTGTTGTTTAGCACCTGCAGGAATTTTGCAAATGGTAATGGCACAAAAAAAAGGCTATTTCAGGGAAGCAGTGTAATTTTTATAGCCTGTTTTTGTGATAAAATGTGCCCAGACAATGGCTGAAAGAAAAGATTGCAAGTGCAAGAAAGGATTTCTAGACAGGATCTTAAAATTAAAGGGAAAAAAGTCCAAGCTACAATTAGCCAGTGCCATGATCACTGGAAAATGTACACAAACATGGCTTTTCAATAAGCCTTCATTTACTAGAAATGAACTATTCTGGTTCAGATTCTAATTATATTTGACGATTTTAGCTCCCTCATGATTCGAATAATGTTTTGATTAATGTTTCAATTATGAAAAGTTTTTTTTTTTTAATAAAAAGTTATAAAAAAACATAACCAAAAATCCCTTTTATGACTATTATGAGCATCAATTTATATAAACGATAACTCATGAGTTTGAGACAGATTAATGAATCATTTGGATTTCATGTTTCTCTTTCACCATGAAAAAAAAAGTAATGAAAATCAGTCAATTCAGTATTTAAGCACATATAACAGCCTCCCTTAAATGACTCTCAAGGGCATCAATTTACATAAATAAATAATGAATTTGAGACAGACTCTTAAATCTTTTTGAATGACACTGAAAAAATCAGTTCGCTAAAAACAGACAAATCAGACAAAACTGG